ATATGGTTCATGGGGTCACGAAGAGTCGGACACGACTTAACGACTAAACAACAACAATATGCTCCCTATATAAGGATTCTAGACAGATATATATATATATACCAAATATTGAAGAGATTTCCTGGTAGGGAGTGTGACTTCCATCTAATGCTACTCCTTTCAGACAAAGACCCGGAAATATCCTCCCAAGTTGCCCGGTTTTATGCTACCATCTGTACAATACGCTCCACCATTATTTAGAGTTAAAATTCCACAACATAGTGTCTTACTGTGATATATTTTAGCACTGTTATTTCAATTATTAGATTAAATAATATTTATTGTTTTGTTTTATAGATATATATAAATGTAAGATGGTTGTATTATATACTTTGGCTGTATCTGGCCTTAGGGCTGTAATAAACGTGTGTGTGAGTATCAGACAATTTTAAGAGAAAGCTCTAAGTACACTGTTGCCAAATATCCTTGAAATCTTCCAGAGTTAAAATACTTTTCTCCATTCTGTATTAGTGGGTCTCCTTTAATTGTAATTTTTAGTTCTTTCTGGTTGCCTCTTGTAACCAGCCTTCAGGGTCTCCTTTTACCATGTGTTTCTCTAATCCACACCATTTTCCCATGAAAAAATTTCTTACACTTAACTTCAAGATCTTCATATATTTTTAATAGGATTTTAAACAAACCACAGGAAGGATTCTTATAGTTAATTTCAAAATCTTATTTCCAGTCCCTTAGTCCATTTATAACTTTCCAAAATCAATGTTCTAATCACCTTTTTGCTGCTTATTTCTAAATATTTTTTTTTCTTTAAGTTCTTAAACTTACATGAAACTTCTTTCATTGAGGATTGAAGGAAAATCACCCAGTGAAATAAAACTTGTCCTTCTGAAGTTTCTTAGTATCCAAAAAGCAATTTACAAGTCATTTTCAGAAGTGATTAAGAAAGGAAGTGGGCGAACCCAGTGTCTCTTTGAAGGCTCCGAACTGTGGCTTGAGCAAGCTGATTCTCACAGCTTCCAGAGCTCTAAAACCAGCTGGAGACTCTCATCCTGGGGAGCCTCTGTAAGGAGCACTATGAGTGATCCCAAGTCCTCCCCTTTATCTGAGGAGGAATTTCAAGGCACCAATTCATTCGTTGGCTCTTTGTTCTGCCGCAGTCATTGGCTCCACTGAAAGCAAAGCCATCTTCAGTTCACCATTGCTTCCCCGGAAGTCAGTTGTATTTTGGATTCTTGAAATATTTAAAATCAGTGTATTATGAAGCATATTTTCTCTCTATAGATTTTTTTTAAATATGCCATAAAGTTCCTCTTAATGACAACTTTCTGTTGTGTTGGTGAAGAATGGTATTATGATTTATAGGGGATAGCAAGTTTTAGCAATAATGTAAGACTAAATTTCTTACTGAAATTTGTAGCGATGTATTTTATTTATGGATTTTACTTTGATATTGTTCTTCTTTCCAAAGAAGCTCAAAATATTTACTTAACCAGAACATTTTAGATTCCTTCTGCCTGTCCCTGCAGTTGGAAGTTCTACATTCACAGACTTTAATGCTGATCCGAGAACGCTGGGGTGACCTTGTACAAGTGGAACGATACCATGCAGGCAAATGCCTGTCTCTCTCTGTTTGGAAGTAAGTGAAATCACTGTTATCTGTAGATGTTCATACAATCAGTCCAGACACAATTGTATTTATAATTATTATTTATTAAACGATTTATATGGTTTCCATATAACAATATTATATTTATATTGTTGGAACCGAAATAATGGGAACTCTTATACTAGTTTAATTTGATACATAGTATATAGTATGGATTGTATGGATTTCAAGAGAGGTACGCTGTTTCTTAAATAAGTTATATGTAATTGATTTCTGGAATGAGGGCAAATAATGAGAGCAAATAATCTGACTTGAAGGTAATATGTTGTTACGTTGGGGGTATTTTAGAATCAAAACTTGTCTGCAAGCATAGTTAGTCAAGTTTTGTTCTATAGGCAAAGCTTTCACAGTATTACTGCTCTTGGAAATGCATGCCCTAGAAACAGCTAGGTCTAACTTTATATAATTAAATAGATACAAGTTTGAAATCTACAAAATCTTCCTAATCTTTGTAGTTGGTACAGAAATTGTGGAATTTTAAGAATCAAATATTCTATCTTGTCATAGAGGATTATCATTGGGTAAAACATACATACATACATACATACATACATACTCAGTGTAGATCACAATGAGAGGTTGCAACTATCTGTACCAAGGTGTAATGGAAATGTAGTTGCTGCTTCTGTGAATTTATTTAATGGTAGTAAGAAGTTAGAGAGAATCACTTGTCTAGTATGCTGTCCAACAGCTACTGAAATACATAAAAGAGAACATTTAATACTATTATCTCATATATAATGAGAAGTGAAAGCAACATCCTGCCTTCTTTAGACATGTATGAGTACTCCTCTGTGTGATATTTTCAGGGCAGCACACAATATCTGAAACCTAATTTAAAGAAAACATTAACAGTTTTGTATCCATTATATTTGTTCCTGGTGTTCTCCGTTGAATGTAAAGTACAGTATTAACTTTGTCTCATTCTTTAGGGCTTAAAGAACATCTAACAGATCATTTTAACCCATGTAACCTGGCTCACAGTTTGAGATTAGGCTTGGAGTTCAAGCTGCTTGTTCACTTGTCAGTAGGGATAAATGAGAATTTTAGATATAAGCCACAGGCCTTCTTGGTAATACTGTCATGATTCTAGAGTTTTTTGCCAAATGAACTACTCATTGTTCGTTACCTGATAATGAATAGTAATACATGGCACCAATAACCCAGGCCTTCAAACAGGTTTTAAAACCTATTTGTACCAGACCACTCTTTTAACCAATGCTTTTGTGGTATTGATTGCTGAGGCGATTAAATGTGCCTTAGGGACATTTTCATGGTAAAGTTGTTATATTGATGTAGCAAGTCTGTTAGAAGAAAGCGATAAGCAAAAATGATCAGCAAAGCTGAGAGTGGTATATTGGGCATAATTGTCAAGGATTTGAAACAACAAATTAAAGAATTCTTAAGATTATAACTGTGTGCCGGTTAGAGAAGTTTGAAAGTGTTTCTTGAACTTTATAGGGAAAACAGTTACATTCTTGTTTTATTAGTAACGTTTTTACCAATTTATTTGAATGTTCTACAAAAATTGGATTTTTATTTAACATAGTATTTCTTTATTAAGCCAACAAATTGTTGGGAGAAAAACAGGAACTGCATCTCTTCATAAAGTCACCATTAAGATTGATGAGAATGATGTATCAAAGCCTTTGCAAATTTCTCATGAACCTCCCCTTCCAACATGTGATTCCAAACTAATTGAGAGAGCTATGAAGGTAAAGTTCAGCAGTTTAAGTTGTCTCAATTTAAAAAGGCTCTTTTTTAATCCATATGTTTATCGTTAAAATATTTGGAATATATAGACAAAAAGCAAATATTGAAATACAAAAAAAGCAAGATGATACAAAAAAGATGACTACATTTGAATTTTAAAAAAGAAGACTTTTAAAACAGTAGCAGTTTAGAAATGTAAAATTATTTTCCAAAATTGTTTGCCAGGGCTGGAAAGACTTATATATTGCAAAATTCATTATTAGTATGAAATATAAAAATATAAAGAAGAGTTGCAGTAGCAATATATTTTCTCATACTGAAAAAAGAAACTTGCTGGATTTAAGCCAAGATTATAGAGGGCATTTACCATGGGCCTACTACTTAATTTAGATGAAGCTAAATGATAATAAAGGTGCTTGAGCTACTGCACAAATGTCCCCTTACAACTGCAAACTCTTCAAAAAGTCCTGTTTTTTAATAACTCCTTTTACTTTGATTTTTGTAGATAGACCATTTGTCAGTAGAGAAGCTTCTAATAGACAGTGTCCATGCAAGAGCACATCAGAAACTCCAGGAATTGAAGTCCATTCTTAAGAGCTACAACACCAGTGACAATTGTATGTGGTAGTATCTGTATAATCCTTTCTTATCTTACTTCAAAATAGAAGGCTTGAATCTGAAGTAAATGAAATTACTTTGCCAATTTGCCTCTGTCTCATATAATAATAGTAATAACAACAACAACATCTGGCTGACTGTGCGACCAACAATAGTTTTAATTCACTGAACTGAGAGCTTTCTTGGCAATCATTGCCTTGAATATGCTATAGAGAAGTGATAAAAATTTTAACAACTGGGATTTTAACATGTTAACAAATTGTTAACATTTCTTTTATGAAGAAAGTGAAATGATATGAATCTTTTTTAGTATTCTTACACTAGAGATTATTTCTTATATCCTTTTGAATTAGTTTCGAGTACGTTTCAAACTTTTGTCAGCTAGTATAAATGTTCAGGGTTTTAATTTAAAAATATACTTAATTTATTTTAACGTGCTTATTCAAGAGGGGCATACATAAAATTGTTGTACTAGAACTTGCCTAAACCTGATTTTGGATGTTTCCCCTCAGGCTCATATACCCAAGTCCATTCCATTTAGGCAAGTCTGCTAACCTTTTGTGGAGGTGTTTTGGAGTGGATTATAGAGTTCGGTAAAAATCAATTGCTGGAGTCAGGGTTTATGCTTAGTCGTTTCATATAGCAAGCTCCCTCATATACTATGCTCCCTTCTGTCTCTTCTGCACCTAGGTGTCTGTGTAGATGGTTTGGGCTACTAATAGATATTGATGGTTATTTAGTATTTAATCATTAGTATTCATATAAGTTAATGAACAAAAATATTCCACAAGGACTGAATGAAAAGTAATGCCTCCAATATTATAAGTTACCAACAGACGGGAGTACTGATGCATTAGAAGTTCTGATGTGTTCTTTACAATCTGTTATTTCACTTCAGTTGGCGGGAATTTGCTATGAAAAAAGGTTGTGTTGCTATTGTTTGTGAAATGGAAGCTGCAGTGAAAACTTGTCAGTGCGCTTTAAGCAGCACACCAGATTGAATTTTTGATTGCCAAAGGAGTTGCTGCAGTTGAAATTCACTTTGGAATGCAGATTATTTATGGTGATGATTGTGTTGAAGTGAATACTGTGCATTGCTGGGCAAAAAATGTAAAGATGCTGAACCGGGAAGAGCTGGCTTGCGTGATCAAAAATAAAGTGGATGATCTGTGACACAATCAACAAGTTTCATGTGAGAAAGATTGGTGAAGTGACTAACCACAGTTGGCAGATCACTTAAAGGGAAATTGCTGTCAGGTTTGGCATTTCACAGGAATGTTTGTGCAAAGTAGGTTCCTCACATGCTGATGGTAAAGGTGAAGGCTTCAAGAGTTGAAATTTGCCAGCAGTGGTTGTTATGCTACAAAAATTATGGGATTTTTTTCATAGCATTGCAACAGCCAACAAAACATGGTTATCATTATGATGCAGAAATGAACCGTTAGTCCCTGGAATATCATCACAAGGCTTTGCCTGTGGGGAGAAAAATTCAATACCCTGGTTTTGGCAGGAAAACTCATGCTTACAGTTTTTGGGATGCAGATGGTGTTATTCACATGATTTCCTTGAACCTGACACCACTATCAACTCAGAGCAGTATATTGTAATACACAAAACCTGGAACAATAATTAAGCAGAGTTCAGAAGCACAGGAAGGAAATTTTGCTGCAACATAACAACTCTAGGCCTCACAGCTAACAAGCCACCCAAGAGGCAATTGCAAAGTTGGATCTCACCATCTTGCCCTATCTGCCATACAGTTCATACCTGGTACCATGCAACTTCTACTTTTTCCCAAACTTGAAGGAATATCTTTGCGGATATCTGTCTGACTCAGATGAAGAGGTCAAGAGGACTGTCAGGACCTGATTGAACAGAGAAAATGTAGAGTTCTTTTGTGATGGCTTTAAGAACCTTTCCATCTTTGACAGAAGTGTGTAGCAAATGGTGCTATTGAAATACAGTCGTGTGAAAAAGAAAGTACACCCTCTTTGAGTTCTATGGTTTTTATGTATCAGGACATAATAAAAATCATCTGGTCCTTAGCAGTTCTCAAAAGTAGGTAAATACAACCTCAGATGAACAACAACACATGACATATTACACCATGTCATCATTTATTTTACAATACAACTGTATGCTGGTCCTTAGCAGTTCTCAAAAGTAGGTAAATACAACCTCAGATGAACAACAACACATGACATATTACACCATGTCATCATTTATTTTACAATACAACTGTATGCTACTAAATTATGTGGAGAAGTAAATACAGGTAACAAAAGAGCTCATTTTAAGGATTATTTTTCTATTTTGTTTATTAAAATATCCTATTTAGACTAAAGTTATGGAGATGAAGGCATTACTTGTCATTCAATTATCATATGTAGAAAGAAACAGTGAAAAGGGTTTTGGTAGCAAAATGGCATTCCTTGAAAATATAATTTTATTGATGCTCATTAAATGAATGTAAGTTTACTAAAATAGTTTTATTGAAAAAGGATTTCTGTTGTGATTGAAGTCTGCAGAGGTCCAAAGTTGAATTTAATTTTGAAGCATTTCCCTAGTTAAAATTCCATCTCATCTTATGAATTCTCAATTCTTTAGCTTTTATTGAAACAGCTCTCCCCACACTTGTTATCCCTATTCTGGAGCCTTGCGGGCAATCTGAATGCCTACACATATTTGTAGACCTTCATTCTGGGATGTTTCAGTTAATGCTTTATGGAATTGGTAAGTAAATAAGAGTTAGCTTTATTTTCACTTAAGTCCCACTTCTAATTATTACATTACAATTTCCAGAATTCAGCTGTTTTTCTTTTGCCTGGAAACTAAAAGTAAAGGTTTTTATCATAGAGTTTGCTAGTGTATTAAACGGTGTGATGTCAAATATAGATATAGAGGTCATTTGGTCAGTTAGCATGTAGTAATTCACAAGCACAATGCAGTGTAAATGGAGAAATTATTTCCCAGAGAAAATAATGATTATTGATGCCAAAAAGAATGGGAAAATTTTGTTTAATACATTTTACAAATGAAATGGCTTGGTCATGATCACACTTTGACATAATACATTGAGCTTTATATAAGGCTTTTCCTCCTAATAATTTTTAAAATAATTTTCTTAAAAGCTATACCTCAAAATACAAAACTTAGGAATACAATTTAAACAATTCAAGCAAGTCTCTTTATAAAAATCTAAATAATGGCAGCTAGCAAGTAACATGAAATCTTTACGCAGATCACTACAACTCAACTTTTTAAACAACAAACTGAACCTTGATTATTCGGAATTATATTGCTTGGTCTTTCCTGTCTATCCAAAAACGCCCATTCAAAAAATGAAATATGTCGGCTCTTAACTACCCAACTTTTAGAGTTTGGCATGTACACAAACTTTCAGGATTGCAATAGTCTAAACACAACATATCCAATTTTTTTTTGTAAACAAATTCTAAATTTGAGAGATGTTATTTGCCATTTTGTAATATAGAATACTGGAATTCTCTATTACAAATTTGTATATTTTCCAAATTTATTTAGTAAATTTTTAAAATTTTTGATATTATTAGAATGTTAGTTTAGCCTCTATAAAAGCATTCAAAGTTACTGGAGCTTCAGTGCATGGTAAAGCATCTGAACCAAACAGAGCTTTTCTTCTTGCATGCTCCCATTCACAGAACATCTTCATTACCAAGTGGTGGTTTAGGTAAATTAAACTATGGCAACAAACTAGGATCTTAAGTCCTGTTTTTTTAATTACTGAAGAAAGATTGAAAGTTGAAGAGCAGGAAACTCTGTGTTCTGTACAACATTCAATGGGAAGTCCTTGCAGTTATTAAAATTTTGAAATACAGGAATATGACTTCTTAGCAAAATAGTTCTTTCTTCCCATGGAGTGTCTTAAAATCTGTTAGTAGATTGTATGGTTGGTGCACATTTGGGGATCCCACAAAGCTGAGTGGAAAAAAAGGAAGATCAGTGATAGTGGATATTGGATAGAGTCTGTTAGATTGGATTGAATCCAGAATTAGTCATGCTTACGGTTATTCTTCTGAAATTAATGAGAATTAAATTAGATCTAATTGAGTTCTGTGGGTCTACTTGAAGCATAATAATGTCTAGTTCTAACTTGCTGATAATGTTTAGTTCATATGAAACAGATTATTACAAAGTTTTTGGCTAAGAGTGACTCACAATCTTTGTGTGGTATTCCAGGAGCCACACTCCCTGAATATAACACAAATAAAACTGAATCATACTTTGTTTTAAATGAATTATAATAAAAATAGAATATAATTGATATTTTTACTCCCATAAAGCTAACATTAATTTGTCCTCCTAACATACAGTTACAATTTAGTGGTAATCCTTGGGTGGTTCCTACTTTCAACATCCTAAAGACTTTTGAAGGAGTGCTGCTTCTTGTATTATACTGTTCATTCATTAAATCTTCAGAAGAGAACTTTCTTTATGTACCATCAGTGGGAAAAATTCATTATTAATTTACCAAAGAAAGGCTTTTCTACCTAGCATTAGGTAGGTCTTTTAATATTGTTACAAATATACTATAATGGTTTAATTTAGTTATAGCAATAGCTTTACATAAAGATAATAAAACCACAGGAGTAAATATAAGAAGGAAAAATTACTAAATTTATTCACACATGATATGATATTAACTCTCTCAAACACAGTATGTTCATCTCATATTTAAAAAGAGTTAAAAGATTTTGCAGAATTCAGGTCTAACATTAATTTCAACAAATTTCAGTTGTTGTACATTCATACTCCTCCAGAGATACAAAAGCCCCTATCCAATATCTTAAAAATAACATCCAAACATGTGTTTTAAATTAAGGTATAAAAATGACAAAAAAATTAAAAATTACTTAATAATAACTATGTTCCAATATGGAAAAAGATAAACAAAGATATGAACCACAACTGTTTTATCATCCTGGGCCAAATTGTTACAGTTAAAATGAAGGCTCTTTCTAAATTAAATTTCGTATTTCAGGTTCTCCCAGTAGAAAGTCTTGATAAAGTTTTCACAAAATAGCA